CGAAGCGACATGGAGGTCGAGCAGATCCCAGTGCCGTCAGCAGACCTCACTGCAGCACAGATTCGACTCCCAGATCGGACAGTGCTGATAGTGTCAATCTACGTTGAGGGTGGCAACAACGTAGCTCTGGACGCCGCAATGGGAGAGCTTGACCGGCTAATCAGAAGGTTGCGAGACGGAACAGGATCTAGAACAGACGTCGTTCTGGCGGGCGACTTCAATCGCCACGACCAGCTCTGGGGAGGAGACGATGTCTCACCACTGAGGCAAGGCGAAGGAGACCGCATCGTCAACCTCATGGACGAACACTCCCTCTGCAGCCTCCTCCCAAGAGGCACGAAGACATGGCAGTCGGGGGACGTAGAAAGCACGATCGACCTGGTACTGGCTTCTGCAGAACTCGCAGACCAGCTACTTAGGCGCAGGATTCATCCCTGTGACCAGTGATCTGATCACAGAGCGATCGAGACGACATTCGACATCGCAATAGAAGACCGCCCAACGGAAACGAGATTTCGCTTCAAGAATGCACCGTGGGCAGATATTAGGATCAGAGTGGCGTCGAACCTAGAGAATGTCCCCTGGAATGGCAGCGTCCAACAGCAGACGGATAGGCTCATGGCAGCGGTAACCGAGGCGGTCTACAGCCTGACACCCAAAACCAAACCGTCACCATACGCCAAGCGCTGGTGGACGCCAGACCTGACACGGCTCCGCCGGACCTACACATTCTGGAGAAACCAGGCGAGATCACGACGCAGGATGGGGCAAACATCGTTAGAGCTCGAGCAACGAGCCAGGACGGCAGCCAAGGAATACCACGATGCTATCCGCAGACAGAAAAGCTCACACTGGAACGACTTCCTTGCCGACGACGCGAACATCTGACAGGCAGCAAGGTACCTGCGAACCGACAGTGTCACTATAGGCGACAAAATCCCCCCGCTTATCCAACCAGACGGCTCCGTGACGGAAGGCAAAGCATAGCAGGCTCAAACGCTACTAACGACCTTTTTTCCACCGCTGCCAGCCAGAATTGAAGACGAGGGACAACGCCCTCAGCGGGCGCCAGTAGATATGCCGGATCTAACGATGGAAGAGGTGGAACAAAAGATCATGTCCGCCAAACCATGGAAGGCACCTGGGGAGGACGGCCTGCCAGCAATGGTATGGAGACAGCTTTGGCCAGTTGTCAAAGACAGAGTGCTCCTCCTATTCCAGACCTCACTTCGAGATGGCGACATCCCTAATCAATGGAGGAATGCCAAGATCAGCCCACTGAAGAAGCCCGAGAAGAGCGACTACACTTTAGCCAAGTCTTGGAGACCCATCTCGCTGCTCTCCACACTTGGCAAGATACTGGAGGCAGTGATTGCGGAACGCCTGTCCTATACTGCAGAGACATTTGGCTTGCTGCCTGCGAACCACTTTAGAGCTAGGAAGAGACGTTCCACTGAGCAGGCTCTCCTACTGCTGCAAGAACAAATCTACAAAGCATGGAGGGCTAGGAAAGTGCTCAGCCTGGTCAGCTTCGATG